AGTAGGTTATGCAGCGCACCTCATATATCCCTTGTCTCAGCATTTTGTTCTATGAAAACGGTGGCTTTAGGGTGTTTTGGGTGGGGAATTAGGATAGGCAATGGGATATACTTTAATAACTGCTATATGCATTTTTATTATATTGTGGCTAGAAATGTTGTTGATTTATATCTGTAGATTTTCCTACTCTGTGTTATCGTTTAACCTATGGCGGAAGAACCCGATTATCAAATTGCAGGTTTGTTGAAATTCCTGAAAAATTGAAATGGTGGTTTGGAGGTCGTCTGCTTCAACTTACCCGAGGTCCAACTTACCGTTCTGGAGTTAGATTAGTATAGTCCGGTTGTGCCAAGCGCCATGCACACACCTCCAATTTACATGCGCAAAAAGTTACTCCCAGCAGCTGCGGGAAACAAATTCGGCTACATTTTTTAAATTATCACTTACTTCTGCAAATTTCTTTCCCTGCCTATCCTATTTCCCCACCGCAAAAAGCCTATAATCAGCGTTTCCATGGGACAAAATTCTAGTAGTAGGGGTATATGATGTGCACTACTCAAACCACTTTTGCCCTGACTTTTTTACAGAATTTCGAAAACCCTGATGACTTTTCCCTTTCTTTCAAGCAACATCATACTCTTATACTAGGGATGCCAGTGCCTTTCAAGTTACTATAAAAAATGCTTCACCGGAGAAACATTAGCAGGATCTGTTTCTCTGAAGTCCGGGTAAGCGTATGCCTAAGAATACGCTGGAGAAAAACTGCATCTCTCCAGAAGTGTATGCCAAATAAATATGATACGATGCAGACGTTTTCGGTACGTTACTGAGAAGAAAAGTGTGTCTGGACTTTGTCAGAAGATCTCTTAAGTAATGTCATAATTTCCTAGCACTTTTGTTTTTTATAGAAGAAGGTCTAAATAACAATTTATTTACAGTCCGCAGTTTAAAGTAAATACCATATCCTTAATTGTATGTCTGAAGGAGATATTATGGCTTCATGAGCATTTACTAGTACAGACATATTTTGAATCGCTTCAACTGCTGTTGCGTTTACAGTTTCTCTTATTTAGGTTTACCTGCACGGTATGCTGGAATCCACGGTTTAATAAGCTTTGTCAGTAGATAGAGCCTATTTTGTACTATCTTTAATAGCAGTATTGCGATTTCGGAAAATGGTAGACTATACGAATACCTTTGTCTGCACCGAAAAGGCTGCTAATTGGTTTTCTGGGAATACCAGCTCACGCTTCGAGTTCCAAAGTTAGATACAATGTACCCTTTGAGAACAGCAGCATAGAATAGGAATCTCTTGTGCATATTGTCTGTACAATACAGTGAAGCCCGTGTAAGCGCTGAAAGTCTAACAAGTGGATTAACTGGAGTGTAAGAAGTAAATTATTTCAAGCGGAATTTGTGCTGGTTGTCTAAGTGATGCCCAGTCAGGTATTTTGATTTGTTTCGCCTTGTGTTTTCAGTTACCTAACTTTAGAAGCTTATCTGAGTAGTATTATTTATATGAGAGATAGCACCGAATGATTTTGGACGATCAATAAATCTAAATACGGCAGGTTAAAAAACGTATATGCTATTTCATGAAATGATAACTGAAATTCTTAATGTCTTTTCAATTAAAAATTTGGCATCGCCTATTTTCTCTTGTACGTAATCAGCATTTTCCAATCCATTGCACTCCCCACACCGAAATCTTTTCTCATCTTCCGCTTGATTTTATTTTTATCAGTTGTGTGTTTTCCTAACAGTTACGACCAGCTGGTCAATTAACGGCGGTCGCCTGCTTGGCTGCACCAACTCCCTCCTCCCCTTTCCCCCTTTACTATCACACTTGTATGCACTCTGCTTGCGCGTACCTCGCACACAAGCGTTATCGCTCCCTATCAAAGGGGTTGTGCCGACGGCCGAACAAGAGATGGCCCTTGTATCGATCACTTTTTTCCTCGCGGTCTAAATCGCAGTCGCCTGTGGTTCAAATGAATGTGGGGATAGGTCTGGGGTTCTGGCCTGTTCAACTGCTTTTTATGATGGAGTGAGTAGGGGGGGGAGCTGCGTCAATGGCGTTAACG